AGAGGAACTTTTGCTTTTTCACTAAATCGCTTAGTGTTTTCTGCTTTATAGTTTGACTCCTTGGATGCTTAGATTAAAGCAGAAAAGGATCATAGCTCAATATTAAATATTGTATAGCTAGCCCTTTTTGTTTTTCTTTTGCATATTTTTTCTTTTTATTATGAAAAATAATAGCTTTCTTTTTGCTAGTATTTTTGTTTAAACAAAAATGTAATACTAAACTTTTGATATATTTTAGTTAAAAAAAAATGTTTCTTTAAAAATTTGGGTTTAAGCCTATTCAGTCCTTTGCCTCTTCCTCCTCGACCTCTACCAACAATTCTACTATTACTTGTCAAGATTTGTTAACCCATATTGGCACCTTACAAGATACTGTAGCTGCTGTTTAAAGTTTGTTAGTCTGTTTAGAAAAGAAAACAGATGAGTTTGCAAGTGGTTCAAGCTATTCTGGGTGTGCTTATTTGCATACCAAATTGAATGATATATATATTGAGCTTAAGAAAAGAAAATCTTAAAAAGACATATTCCAGAAGATTAAAGACTTTGAAAACGTGTTCGGGAATTGGAGACAAAAAATCTTTGATAAGAATAAGAGGAAGGATAATAGTAATAATAATAATAGTAATACTGATAGTAATAATAATAAAAAAAATTAAAAAAAAAATAAGAGTTGTTTTTTTTTTTTTTTGTGTTTTTGTTTGTTTTTTTTTTTTGTCAATAAATTTTTGGTAAAGTTTTAATAAAAAGAAGAATAAAGAAAAAAAAAGAAAGAAAATAGATATTGTTTTCAACTAATAACTATAGTAGGTTCCCATAGTGGTCGATCAAAGTATAATTTTAAGTGATTAGCATTAATTGCTCTTTTTAGAATTTTGTCATCCATAGAATGAAGTTTGTAGACTCCTGGAGCAATGACATTATGAATATAATAAGAACCTTTCCATTTTTCTTGAAATTTATCACCATGAACCTTAGCTTAAGCAGATCAATATAACAATACTTTATCTCCAATATGAAATGAAATTTCTTTAACATGTTCATCATGGTTTTCTTTTTGTTTTTGTTGAGCTATTTTAATATTTTGTTAAGCTTTTAACTGGACTTGCTGTAATTTATTTGTTATAAGATCAATATGAACTTGAAATTGCTATTTATAAGGTAGCTCCTCAGCATTACTTGTAGAATTTAATGCTAAATCCAATGATGTAATAGCTTTTCATCTATAAAGCAATTCAAAAAGTTCATATTTGGTAGTAGAGTGAGATATAGTTTGGTAGACAAATAGAGCAGCAGGAATAAAAGTATCTCATAAATCCTTATAGTCACTAATATACTTTGCTAACATAGTATACAAATTTTTATTAAACCTTTCAGTTAATTTATTAGTTTGAAGATGATAGGCAGAAGCAAGTCGATGTTTAATTGTTATTAGTTGACAAATAGCATCAACTAGAACATTACAAAAAGAAGAACCTTGATCAGATAATAACTATTGAGGACATCCATGACAAGTAATAATTTCATCATAAATAAACTTGGCAATAGTAGTAGCTTTCATATCAGGTATAGCTTTAGCTTCAGGCCATTTTGTTAAATATTCAGTAGCTATTACAATATATCAATTTCTATTAGAAGTAATTTTTAAAGGTTTAACAATATCAATTCCTACTTGGTGAAATGGTGCTAATACTGGTAGAGAATGTAGGAGTTGATTTTGTTTTGTTCCTCCTTGCTGTTGACAAGTATCACAAGTTTGAATATAGTTTGTAATACTTTTATATATTTTAGGCCAATAGTATTTGTTTTTAGCATAATTATAAGTTCCATTAATGCCAAAGTGTCTAGCAAGAAGATCAGAATGTAATTCATGTAAAACAGTAAGCAGTTCAAATTTCTGAACTACATATAGTAATTTTTGTAAAGATCCTTTTGGTTTCCTATATAGTTGGTTGTTTTTAACAATATAATGTGTTGCTTGTTTTTTAAATTGTTGTTGTTCCTTTAAAGTCAAAGTTGGGGGTAATTCTGAAGTTGTTAAATATTTCACAAAGTTAAAATAGAGAGTAGATTCCAATTTGGTTAAAGTGTTGAATATTTTTTCTAGAGTGGCTTTCTAGAAAGACAAGAAAGTGTATCTACATTTGAGTAGACTTGTTCTTTGCGATATATGACTGTATAAGGATAATCAGCTATCCGTTGTATCTAGGGTTCATATTGGGCCGGGCTAAACCCACAGGTTTCAGGGTCGGGTCAGATTTGGGCCCGGGCCAGGTCTAATTTTTAGAGTTTTGTTTGTAAAGTGGGCCGGGTTCGGATCAAGTTTATTAAATGTTGGACCCAGGTCGGGTTTAGTAAACAGGCCCAGTGCAGTTTAACAATACTCTAACAGTTACCGGTTTTTTTTTTGCCAGTTTCTCAAGAATTTAAATAAATAAGACTAAATATTGACATGCATACTTGTCATATTTAAATTTCAATTCCCATTATTTGGCAAGATCCATTTCGCTCAAACGAAGTCTTTATTCTTTTTCAATAAAAATTCAGTTGTGTAAATTTCTAATTCTATTCTTTGGCAAGATCCATTTTCGTTCAAAAAAGTATATATTTATTTCTAATTATTTTTGTTTCTTGTCAAAGACAAAAAATTCGAGTTTAAAAAATTGAATTAAATTTCGATTCATATTCTTTGGTAAGATTTATTTTCATTCAAACGAAGGCATTTATTTATTTCTAATTATTTTTTGTTTCTTGTTAAAGACAAAAAATTTAGGTTTAAAAAAAATTGAATTAAATTTAGATTCCTATTCTTTGGCAAGATCCATTTTCGCTCAAACAAAGGTATTAATTTATTTTTTGTTTCTTGTGAAGACAAAAAAATTCGGGTTTAAAAAATTGAATTAAATTTCGATTTCTATTCTTTGGCAAGATCCATTTTCCTTCAAATGAAGGTATTAATTTATTTTTTGTTTCTTGTTGAAGACAAAAAATTCGAGTTTAAAAAATTGAATTAAATTTTGATTTCTATTCTTTGGCAAAATCCATTTTCGTTCAAACGAAGATATTTATTTATTTTTAATTATTTTTGTTTCTTGTTAAAGACAAAAAATTTGGGTTTAAAAAATTGAATTAAATTTTGATTCCTATTCTTTGGCAAGATCCATTTTCATTCAAACGAAGTCTTCATTCATTTCTAATTATTCTTTATTTCTTGTTGAAGACGAAAAATTCGGTTTTAAAAAATTAAATTTCAATTCCTATTCTTTGGCAAGATCCATTTCATTCAAACGAAAGCATTTATTTATTTCTAATTATTTTTTGTTTCTTATCGAAGATGCAAAAATATATAAACAAATATAAGCATATAAAATTTTTTACTTTGATTTTGTTTATCATAATTTTTCATACATCCTCGACAAATATTAATAATATCCTGGTCGTTTGGAATCCTAACCCAAAATTCATTTTTAAACCAGTTGATCATATTTAATTTTTTAATAATGGCACCTGTTCGAGCAATATATTTGTTATAAAAGTCTAATTTATATTCGATTCCTTCTTGTTAAGGTTTATCAGTTGATATGAACAATTTTTTCCATAAATTTTCATACAAGCTAAAGCATACCAAATATTTTTTGACATGCATTCGGACGAAAATTTAAAATCATTGATAAATTATTTTATTATATGAATCATGCCGAATCAATAATGGCAGAAAAATTATTCGGGCAAATTTTCACAGGTGTCCCAGGAATTATGATAATAGCTGTAAATTAGATTGAAATTTATATATATAAATTATTGGGCCTGGCAGTACTGGGCTATAGTTTGATGTAAGCCTGGTCCGACCTGAACCCGTAACATTTTAACGGGCCGAGTTTGAACTTAGGGCTTGTAAAATATATTCAGGTCGGGGTCGGGCTTGGAGATACCCGACCCAATCTGGCCTATTATGGACTCTAGTTGTATCTATCGAGTAACTTTTTTGACAAGATTAGGCTGATTTAATAACCAACGAAGTGCTAAATAATCAGTAATAAGATCAAAAAGTTTTATATAAATATAAGGTCAAAAATATTTCATTCTCCAAACTGCAGTGAGACATTCAATTTTAGTTAGAGAATAATTAATTTCAGCAGAATTCAGAGATCTACTAGCATATACTATTACATGTTTATTATTATTATCCTTTTGACTTGGTACAAAGTATCAGTAAAAAGTATAAATGGTTTTTCAAAATCAGAATATTGTAAAATAGGAGCAGTTGTTAGTTTTTTCTTCAAGATATTCATGGCTTGTTGACAGGTTTCATTCCAGACAAAAGGAATATTTTTTTTTAACAATGTGTTTAAAGGGTAAACAATTTGTAAAAAATTAAGAATAAACCTTCGATAATAAGAAGCTAAACCAATAAATTCTCGAAGTTCAGTAAAATTATTAGGTGCAGGATAATTTTGAACTTTATCAATTTTTGAAGGATCAGAAGCAATACTATTTTCACTAATAATATGTTCAAGAAAAGCTAGCTATTGTTTTCCAAAACAATATTTATCTTTTCCCAATTTTAATCCAGCATTTTGTAGTCGTTTAAAAACTTCCTTTAAATATTCTAAATATTCCTCGAAAGTTTTTGAATAAATAGTAATATCATCAAGATATACTAAAATAAATTTATTTTTAAGATCAGAAAAGATTTTATCCATTACTTATTGAAAAGTAGCAGGTGTATTAGTTAAGCCAAAAAACATAACATTGAATTCAAACAGCCCATATTTAGTAATAAAAGCAGTTTTTTCATGGTCCTCTGGCTTCATTTTCACTTGCCAATATCCACTAGCCAAGTCAAGAGTAGAGAACCATTTGGCACCTTTAAGAGTATCCAAAATTTCATTAATCCGTGGCAAAGGATAAACATTATGTTTGGTAATTTTATTAAGCTTCCTGCAATTAATACAGAGCCTTAGTTTACCATTTTTCTTTTTAACTAAAACAACAGAAGAAGATCATAGACTAAAAGAAGGAGATATAAGTCCATTTTTCAACATAGAATTAAGTTTTTGTTGAATGAATTCATATTCAGCTAGAGACATATGATAGGCTTTTTGGTGAATAGGTGGTGTATTTTCAGTAATAATTTGGTGTTGATCCACAGTTGTTTTTCCTAAATCATTTATTCCTTTAGAAAATATATAGTCATTATTCACTAAAAATTGCTATAGTTGTAGATTATCTACTAAAGGAGAAGAATTAGTTTCTTTCAAGTCTTCCTTGTTTACAAAACAACTTATTGCTTCCCCCACTTGTATATATTCAGAACAATTTTTTTGTAACTAATCACAATATTATTTTCCTTTTTGGTGATTATTTGTTATTATTTGTGAATAAAAATTATAACTATTAAAAGATTTGTTTCTATATTTTATTTGAGTATTGTTAATTTTAAGTATAGGTTTTCTATCAGAATTTTCTATAACTAAAAATCTTTTGGATTCCTCTTGTTCATCATCAGATAATTCATATTCATCTTCACTAATTTTATCAGAATTAGTTTCAGAAGCTGAAATTTGATTAATTAAGTCATTAGACTTATTAGAATTATTTAGGGAAATAGGCTCACTATTATTATGTTGTGGCTTTTCTCACCAAGTAATAGGTAAATTATAAGATTTGTTTTTCCAAATAAATTTAAATTGTTTATGTTTTAGATCAATTATGTCTTAAACTTTACTAAGCCAATCCACATTAGCAATTACAGCATAACCTTAAACATCATTTACTTCCACATCAATAGAAATAATAGTATCAGATATTTGAAGAGGTATATTATTAATAATCTCTAATGATTGTTTTTTCCCACCATTAATATCAGAAAAATATATTTTGGAGAGTTTTTCAATAGATCTATTAAGTTTGTCAACAAAAGCTTTTGATATTACACTTGTAAGTGATCCAGTATTCAAAATTAAATAAAAAGAGGTATTATCAATACTGGCATTGCAATAAACTATATTCACAGCTTCTTTTGGTTTGGGGTTTACCTCAGTAGAAATTAGTGAAGATGTTAATTTCAACTGACTTTGATTTACATTATTATTGTAAGAATTGTTCTTTAAAATATGTGTTTGTTTATTAAATATATTGTGAGAATTGTTCTTTAAAATATGTGTTTGTTTATTAGATATATTAGAAATATTTAATAAATTGTTAAGATTATTTAAAGTAGAAGATAATATATGAGAAGAAGAATTACAGGCACTACCGCTCTCACAGCATGCCTTTAGGAGTTTAAAGACTGTGCTAATGTTTGAATAAGAGCTTGCAAATCTTTAGCAGAAAGAGTATAATAAGTAGGACTAGTATTAGAATTATTTGGAGTAGAAGAATTTTGTTGTTGTTGTTGAAAATTATTCCTTTGCTGTTAATTATAATTATTATTATTATGATTGTTATTATTAGTTTGGTTATTATTTCGGTTATTTCCTCTATTTCGATTATTATTATTACTACCTTGATTATTATTATTATTATTATTATTATTTCTCTGGTAACAATTATGAGCAATATGACTCTTTTTGTCACAAATTTGACAAACAACTTTATTTTGTTGTGGAAAGTTATTATTTTTATTAC